AGTAGTAGTAGTAGTAGTAGTAGTAGTAGTAGTAGTAGTAGTAGTAGTAGTAGTAGTAGTAGTAGTAGTAGTAGTAGTAGTAGTAGTAGTATCTGTTGATTAATAGTAGTATTGGTAAGAGGTAAGGAATCATTCAGTATCGTATAGCTCCAACGCGTGCAAACCGCCAGTTATTGATCCATGATGGTTAGTTATAGTGCAGTTAGCAGTAGTAAATAACGCGTTCAGAGAGATGAGTGTAGATGTCGGTGAGCTGAGGACTGGAGTGGAGGAGGCAATGCTGGTGACAATACGATGCGATTTTTAGATAACTTTAAAATTGATTAACGCTTGACAACGCTCATCATTCCGTCATCTATCCTACATCTTCAAATTGTAATTTATTGATTTCAACCTTTGTGATGTTACCCGTAGACATTCCTCTCATCCATCTCATGATGAACGATGATGAATAGTGCAGCCATGCTAGTTTAGAAATATTCCCCATAATTATTATCTCGCCTGCTTACCCATTTCGAAGCTCATCCATGCTATGAACATTACCTACTTCTTATATGTATGTCAGAAGCTCAACAACGTGTTCATGAATTAGTCGCACGTCCTTACTATTCATTGCTGACTTTAACTTACCGATAGCCAATCTTGAAAACTTTATTATAATTGAAAATTTTCGTCGCTTTGTTATTTCTTACATTTTATCGTTTTGATTCGAAGATGAATAATCGTTTAATGAACACGGAGAGAAAAATGTTAATTGATGAATTTTATATGTTTAGAACAAATTCAGATATTGAGTATAAGCTGTCTTTTCTGGTCCTTTCATATTAAAATGGAGCTATTTGAAGTGAAATACTATGCAATGAATATGTATTCTACTACTAAAGGAAGCACTAAATCAGCAAATTAGATTAACAACCTCATCTAGACGATGGTTTCCGTAATGGAAATCCTAATTCGACACAGAGAAATTGATCTGGCATCTCTTTCAGTAACGAGTGAAGCCAGTTAACTTTGACGCTGTTACACAGTCTTACATTTAGAGACAGGTGAGAGAAACCATGCATTTGGAAATAGTTTAGAACATTCCCGCAACTGAACATATTTAAAGCAATTAAATATTTGTTAATAAATAAGTAGCGGTATAAGATGTACTTGGACAATGAAAAAGCATTGATTTCTGGTAAATGCAAAACTGTGACATGTTGGTGTCACTGGCTTTTTGTTGTGCTTGTTAAGTGTCATCGTCTTCCGGTGTTGGGTTACCAGTTATCATTTATTATCATTTCACAGTGCTTTCTACCTCTATAAATTCTACTCTTGGTTTAATTGAGCTGTCGAGCAGTAAATCTCACCGATCCATCTATTTCAAAAAAACCTTTACATGCTTTCATTAAAATATGATCACTGATCTTCATTTCACATGTTTAGCTCTCTTTTAAAATAGGAACAGAAAGCCTCTTTGAAATGCTTATTTCTTGCAGTTTCTTTTTATATCTCACTTTTTAAATCGCAGAAATAACTTTTAAAAGGAAAGCAAAGTGAAATCAACTGTGTCGCTAATTACTGTGATTGCAAGAGACTGCCAAAATTTTCATCGACCGCTCGTGACTATTAGGTAGTTAAATGACTTCAGTTGTCAAAATTCAACTCAGCTGTATTAAATACATTTTTGATAACGTAATCGTCTTATATAGTGCAGCTATACTCTAAAAAATTGTACCAAGCGAATAAAAAATGCCACTGCTACACAAACTTGGATTTTGTCCAGAATTTCCTCCGGCATACAGCTCCCGTTCTCTCCCGTTATAATTGATACCAATTGTTCTTTCCCACATCCTTCCACTTCTACTCTCTGATGCACTTTTTACATGGAACTACTTCTTGTTGCTATTCGCCGTATTATTCAATTAAAGTCATTGAATCCAAATCTTTAGCGAGGGGGGAGGGGGGGGGGGGGGGGAAAAAAAAAAACGTTTCCTTCCCCTTACCTTTCTTTTCTCTTTAAAAAAGAAAAAACATTCACCCCATGCATTAATGTATGCATGGTCAGCTCTCCATAATCAAGTGGCCCATCATCTTCCTTGTTAAAAATCATAAATTACTATTAACTTGTTGCTTTTGATAAAGCATCCAACATAATGAATGTTATAAAATAAAAAACAAATGTGTCAATTTATTTGAGTTATGATTCTTTTTCCGCTAAACTGTCGAAGAAAGATTTTGTTACATTTCTCAATAACATGAACATTTTTAGTGCGTTGCTGAGTAACATATGGATGAACAGAGGTCGATAAAATAAGCGTGAGACAATCGGTAGACTAGTCGCAACTGTGAAATGTGCTTATAAAATTGGGTTGCCTCTGAGGGCACCGCAAATTTCTCATTTTACCAAGAAAACTCATTTATTTACATTTTCTTCTATTACGTGCTCTTAGGATGCATATAGACTAGTTATTGACAGTTTTTTCCCATGCATTTGGGACATATTTGTCTTTAAATACGAGTTTTTAAGTTTTTTCGCTGTACATTTCTCCCAGACATGTGATGTCAAAGGATGCTTGAAATTTTCTTTTTGTGACATCAGAAAAAATCTCAGACATTCTTACACGTCATATGTTAGAGAGAAATGTAAAACAAGCAATGAATCCAAATATGGTGTCAGTTTAAAGTTTATATAATGTCGAAAAAGAAAATATTAATGCTTACTAATACACTTTTGCTGTTATTGTGGAATACTTGTAAGCAGTGCTTCTCGATCCCGGTAATTTTTTTTCACTTTATCCAGACCGCCTATGAATTTCTATCCAACGAGCCATTTTTTGGAAGTTATACTTAGCTAGTAAGCAGTTTATTGAATTTAAACTAGCTTGTGTTTGAGTATGCATTCATACTTTTTTTGACTCCTCAACAGTAATATATCGTCCATTCTTTTATTCCTTTACTTCCTCTTTTTGTTCCTGTTTCAATAGCTCACATGTTAGTCCAGACGTTCAAATAACCTTTCAGGATATGCAATAACAATCCTCATATATGGAGCAGTTAGCACTTATTATTTACGTGATTCAAGAAAAGTTCGAGTACCAAGCAGTTAGGAACCATCCCATCGGTCTTAATTTACTTTAAAGATCAACAGTTTCAGATACTGCAGAACCAAAGAGTCAACAGTATCAGTTGTTGAAAAGGTTGCTGTTGTAACTCCACTACAGACGTTCACTGAGCAACAGGTGGATACTGGCCTTGGCAGTGATCGTGCCAAATTCCAAGCAGCCACTAAAGGCTCTGTATTTACTGCAGCATTTCTTTTTTATCATCCTCAGTATGGTGCCTGTAAGAGGGAAGAAGGGCCTGCGTCATCCTTGATATCACGGCCTGTTTTCGAAAAAGATCTATTGGTTGTGCCAGAAGAATCTAAAATTGATTCTAATGCTCTATTGCATCGAGTTGATTCCGATTTTCGAGCCAGTTCGAAATTGGAGCTGAATTCATCGAATGAGGAGCATAATAAATCTAGTACGAAGATCTCCATAGGCTCCCAGCAGTTTATATCAGTCGGAAATCAAGAGAATTTGAGGTCATCAAAAAACTGTGAGAAAAACAGCACTGGACGCATTTTTTCCACCAATAGTTCCGACAAAAAAACGAGAGTTGTTGAAAGTGTGGGAATCAGCTATCAATTAACTGATAACTGCGGAACAGGGTGTAAATCATTAAAGACTTCCCCAGCTGATAATAATACACCGAATATTGAAGTGTCGACTTCAGCCACTTACAAAATAATGCCAGCAGTTGAGCATACTTCACCAGAATTATGCACAAGTAAGGATTCAGTGGAGAAGTATGTCAGTAACGAAAGCATAGCAACCAGTAATTGGGATCCAACACTTCTCTTAAACAAGCTATACGAGGTGAAGTTTAAAGTTTTGGAGCTTTCGTATGATCACATTTATAATGAATCGAAGATTTTAAGGAAATAAAATTTCTGGAATTAAAACCAGTCATGCTGAGCAAGGATTATCATGAGTTCAAAAAGTTTCAAGCTTCATTGAGCTGCACGGTGTTTCAATCTTTTTTTACCCTAGAAAATTAACTGTCAGAAAGTTTTCCAGTCAAGTGTTGATGAAACTTTAACTTTTTTAAATTAAAAATTCATTTACAACTGTTCTATAATTAGAAATAATGAACTAGAATTGCGCATTTTTTATATATCAGATCTCGAATTAAACTGCATTTCATCTCACTCATAAATTGGTGAAATTTTGTTAAATTTAGCGAAATTACAGGTCAGTTATGAGCCACGCAAGGAATCAAAACTTAACCGTTTCACTAATATGGAAGGGCATCTCGAAGTTCCCGTGGATGACGAGAGTATATACGCCGAATTGCAAAGAAATTGGGTGCAAAAATATTTTCGGACTAGAGATGGACGCTTGCAGTGGTTTGCTGTGAGTTATTTTTTTCAACATACAAAACCTGAAAGGCATATACTGAAGTGCTGGTTTGAAGTGAAACCTTTTTGAGGTGTAATCTGTGTTGTTTATTAGGATTTCTATTAAGTCCGCGTAGAAATGCATTTCAGCACCGGAAAATAATTCTCATAATTTGTAACCTTTTTAGGTTTAGTTCCGTCCTTGTTATGGGTAGTTCATCAGTGGGAATGTGTACACTGTCACGAAAGAACAATTCTTCCAAGTGCTCTGCGGCAAGGAAGGAGGGGATATTTCTCAAATCAAGAGTATCCTACATCAGAGTTCCTGTTAATTGATAGGACTGAATAATAATGAATACTTCATCCTTTTAATTTTCAGTCACATTTCGCAGATGATACACCGGTCGGAGAAGTGCTGCTTTCCGGCTGTGAAGTAGATGCCAACAGGGATGAAAATGCGCTTTATATACACGGCGGAAAGAGTCATATTAGAATGGTGTTGAGGTCAGTTTCATATCAATCTACTTATTGATTACAGTTGATTCTAAGGCTTGTGTTTTACAAACTGTTAGGACTTTGTCCTTGCTGTTAATATTGTCCACGGATGGAGTATATCGTTTATAAGTGGTGAATTATATTAAGTTTATGACAAAATACATGTATGTGCATCATTTTCTTATTCTCTTTGGAGGATTCCTCTGTTATTTCATTTTCAGGAAAAAATTACTCCATTTTTCAGGTAATAATTATTTTGTGTTAATGAAATGTAGATTTCCTCCTCACCACTTCGATTGTGCCATGTTTTAGAAGTTGATGGTCATTGCTCATTGTACATGGTTCTCTTTAGGATTCCACCAGGAGCCAATGTATTTGATAAATGGAGGAAGGCTATGAACAGTCATGCGGCTTCATCGTATCTTGATACATTTGTTAATCCTGTTTATCCTCCACTGCCTCATATCACCGAGGTTATTATTCATGAAAATATTACAGAGATTGTTATTCATGCAAATAATATGTGCTGTAGAAAATGGACGACTGTGACCCTGAATCGAAGGACATTTTATTATCTCTCTATTTTTTTTTTATTTTCACTTCCTTGATTTTTCTATCTTTTTATTTTATACATTTGCCTTGTCATCTTTTTCCCTTCATCACTTAATCATATCATCAAAAGTCTCAGTTCGTATCTGTGGTCTTTTAAATATCTTAGGGCTTTGAATTGGTATCCGCACAAGACATATGGATGAACTTGAAATTTCACTTCTTTGTTGATAGAGGAAAGGGGATCGAGAACTGCAACTTTGTATTAGTCTTCTAACTCTCTTTTAGTTATCCTTTGCTTCTTATTTCATGTGAAGGAGAAGCTCAAATATTGAATATTAGATCAGGAAATATCAGGGAATAACTTCAAGTATTCTTGCATTTCGTTTTGGAAATTCATCATTTTATCAGTATTCCCTAATTGAATGTTAGTTTCTCCTCGTCTTTCTTTTGTCTGTTCAGTTCTGTAAATCATGTTAAATACTTTGATGAAGGAACTTCCTATTTTTTTCCTACACTTTATGCACCATGCTTTTATGTTACAGAAAGTTGCTATTATTGAGCTCGGATCGTGCTCAATGAGAGCTGGTGTATTGACAATGGAACCTTCGCTACCACAATCGTTTTTTCCAACAGTGGTTCTTGTTAAAGATGATGGTAAATTCATTGTTGGTGGTGATGCATTGCTACCTGAGGTCTTGTTATTTTTCTAAATTTTTTGGGTTTGACATGATTTCATTCTTTTATGTGAAATGAAGCACTGTACGACGCTTTACGACAGTCGGTTCCGAATAGTGTGTACTACGCATATTATCATTGATATCAGATTTATAAAATAAAATTCTAAGTTGTGATGCGCTTGTACATTCTGTAGCTTCAGGATTTCTATGCAATTCAAACAGAATAATAAATTTTTAGAATCGTCGCAAGGGTAGACTGATAAGGCCACTACGCACATCGGATATTTCATTGGATCAGTATGTATTTCACCGACCAGCTTTGAAAGCTTGTTTGCAGAAATGTGTCGATGATCTGAAGATCGATCCGACCAAGTATCGGGTAATGGCATCTTTTCCTTAGCACCAAATGAAAGAAGGTGCAATGAAAAAAATGAATTGTCACAAATGTTAGCAATTCAGTATAGAAGCAAATGTACATCTTGTCTGGTTTATGTACACTTATTATTCTTATTGTTATTAACCTTGTCATTGTGGTCAACGAACATTTAATGAAATATAACTTTTGAAGGTTTTGCTCTCAATCCCGCAGAATATTCCTACTGCTCTTATTGCGGATTTACTAAAAATTGTTTTGGAAGAAATGTACTTCCAGGTTTGTCAAATGCTTTAAGTTCTCTATTCATTATTTATTTTCCGCGGTGTTTTTCTGAACTTTTCTTTGTACTTCTCTAGATCAATTTCGGTAGAAAAGTTCCATTTTTAGTACTTTTAAACGTCGTAAAATACGTTTTGTTCAAGGGTACAGCAGTATCACGTCAGCCGAGCCTCGTATTATATGCCTACGACGTAGCTACTGGTGTCGTCGTTGATATCGGCGATTGTGTCAATATTGTGCCAGTCATTGACGGTATGTTCTGATCTTAAGAATTTTGTTTTTTGAGACAGAATCATATTATTCTTTGACTCTGTTGCCTATTACTTTCTAATTCCATGGAATGAAATTATGTCTCATCCAGTAATTAGTACCTCCTTGACGCTGGATTATTCTATAAACGGGTGACATATTTGGCGGGAACGGTACTTAAATAAAGGGAACACCAGCAGTTAATCGTCAAAAAAAATTCGTCAAAATCTAAAGTAAAAAAAAGTGGCGTATTACCTATAGTAATTAGTACCTCCTTTTCAAGTTTGCAGTCTCCACACCCACATGAACATGTGGGTGTGGAGACTGCAAACTTGAAAGACATAAATAATTTTACCATTCATTGAATGGTACGCATCTTTACTGATATCATTTTTGTACAAGACGAAGACGTAATAGCAGAACCAATGAACAACATACTTATCGAGATTATTGGTGAAGTCGTGCATATTTGAAGGTTATGTTGTCGATAGTGCGATCGTATCATTGCCGTGTGGTGCGACTCAAATTATTAATGCTTTACAAGCAAAACTTATGGAATCATGCTCTGGCGGTTACACTTTCCAATCGTCAGTTGAAATGCTCATTTCGCGTTTTGTTATGGAGCAGGTATATTTATTCCTTGTTTTTCTTAATTCCATAAGTACTTAATTATGGAAATATTTACTAGCATAAGTATTTGGATGATTTTATGTTTAAGGCATGTTTTGTTGCTACTGATTATGAGGAAGAAGTTAAAAAATGTGCGAATAATAGTTGCGATATAGATGCGGTCGTTTCGATTGAAGAATTTGAACCAACCAGTGAAATGATACATTCGTTCAAGGTATGTCATCATTGTATTTGTTTGACTTGTAACTGGCCATTAATTGAAATATTTTCATCTTTTATGCAAAATGAAGCTTCATTTCAGATAAATTCTGCTCGCTTCACTACAACTGAGGGTTTATTCAAACCGAAAAGGTGGGGTCTTGATACGAAAGCTCTCCATCAGCTAGTATTTGAAGCCGTACAGTCATCGCCTATTGATAGTAGGAAAACTTTGTTCAGGTTCTCATTCTTGTTCTCGGAACATCCCTTCTTATTCCTGATGCATATTAATTTGAAACTGCTGGTACTTAACTCTGACATTTCCATTACGTGATTTGCACTTCATTTTTCAGGAATATATATCTGGCTGGTGGGGTCTCTTTACTTCCTGGTTTAGCCGAAAGATTGGAAATAGAAGTGGCATCACTTGTGGCACCGATTATACACACCCAAGTATTGCTTTTACACTTTGGTAGCAATGTGAGAACTTCTGAATATTACTTGTAATCTGTCTTGTAATCTTCCACAAGATCGAAACCGGTCGCAGTTAATACTCTGTAATATCTTACCTCTGAGTTCTCCACTGAAGAATATTGATTGATCATGCACAATGTCTGCATTTTTTCTGCACTGTAATTAAGGTGACGTTCTACGTGTGCATGAAACTTCCACTACTGAATTCAGATCAGTTTTTCCTTCATTGTCTTCGTTGCAACATAGCAGCTTTTCATGCATTATTTTGCGGTTTACTCTGTTTACCATTTCCTTTACTATCGAATTTAAACCATATCACTAATAAGTTTTCTTCTAATTTCATAGATTTTTTATCTTTTTATATTTCAGGTCCATCTTTCACCGTGGAGGTACAATGCAGCTTATCTGGGCGCACAAGTGATTGCCTCAAGTACTCAGTTTGGTCAGACTTGTATTACACTTGAAAGTCTCAGTGATTTTCTTCATCAGTTGCAGAATTCCATCTTTTAGTTGTTGCTATAAATAACTTCCAGTCAAAATTTTTTGTAGTTGTCAAGACGTGACTGATCATATTTTCAATATATCGGATTAATCAACTTTTAATAACTCGCTGTACTTACAGTATTTGATATTATAAAAGATCTTGTCATAAGTATCACTTTGCAGTTACTACCACCGTATTGCCATTCACTGCCTGCTAATGTGATATCGCTTAATGATCATCAGTAAATGCTTTGCTGTTGTTCTCAACTGAAAAGAATATTGTATGAAATATGTTGAGGTGCTCTAACGTAAATTGCATTCGTGAGTGATTTGATTTAGGTTCTTCATATCAAAGAATTTGAACTCGCAGAATTCCGCAATTGAAACAATCAGAATTCTGGAATAAAGGAAACAATTTGGAGTGCAACACAACTTTTGCACTAGTTAACTTCTTGTAGCTGTAATTTTGTCTTTTTTCGGTTGTTTTTGGCTAAAATCTGATGTGATTAAAATCACTTTAAGTAAGCTTACTACGAACTATTTCAGCGCGAGTGACTGTTTTATTTTTTGTTTTGTCGCACTTGCAGAATAAAGCTTAATTATATTTTTGCTCACTTCTGAACCTTTAACTTATAAGACGAATTTCTGAAAATTTAGAGAAGGAGATTTTACTCCATTTGTCGACGGGGTTCTATTTGCTCGTATTGCGGATATTTTGGGGATTCGGGTGCGGTCGTCTTCATATAAGCAAGTCTGAATTTTAAATTTTAGAGTATTTAATTGCTGGGATAAGAACTATTGCCACATTTCCCAGCTTGCATACGTTCCGAGCGGTGTGGTCGTTTGTCGACATAGAGTGAATCGCTCTGGTTTCTTTATTGTTTTGCTATTTCCCCTTTAGCATCCACAACGGTATGCCGAAAAAGAAATCAGGTGTACAGAAGAAGGCTGAAAAGCAACGGGAGATTCAAAAGAAGATCCGAGATAGTATTGCAAATGATATTACACGTGATTCATGCAATGGACTGATGGCATGTCCTCATTCTATTACTACTTTCCGTCTTTTTGTCAGTTAAGCTTTATTGAAGACTGGGCCGTAGTTGTGTAAATAGTTCGCAATTAGAAAAAAAGTGTCGAAGTTTGTTTCATATCTTTGTCTTCTGTCAACTTCATTTGATAGGTTGTATACGCAGCGAATTCTAATCAAATAGCGTGTTGTGGTTGCGACATTTCGGCAAACTTTTTTTTGAAATGCTATTTGGTTTGTTTCTGTATTAGCTGCTATGAACCTGTGCTTCTGTTTGAAACGCAAGGATTCCAATTGAATGATATTGGATCACGAATTAACTTTTTCCTATCTCTGTTTTACGCCTTAATAGTTTAAATTGCACAACATTTCAGCAATGCGATAAATGCTTCCGGAAACAGAAGATTCGAGCGTTTTGTTATTTTTGTAATTCATTAAATAAAGCACCAATGTGTGCGGCCTGCGGTAAACAGAAATGTTTCATGAAAGGGGGGGATTGTGTTGTCAAACATAGCGGGAAATGTACAGTCGGTTTGCTTTTGGTTTTTTTGTTTAAATTGTTCTCGGTAGTATTGTTAGGGCAGCTTGCTGTAATGTATTTGTATCTGCGGTAGTTGGCGTGAAGGGTCATTTTAGACTTAGAACATCAAAACACTGTCTACTACAGTATGCTAGGATCACTGAAAAGTTTATGAAATCTCACTAAATCTTACCGAATCAGATGTGACATTCGCAGCAGCACTGATTCGGATACATGCCAAATATAATCAGATAATCTCAGGCAGTCGGAATGACCCGTACCTCTTCCACAAGTTCGCCAGTTGAGTTACTGGGTGACATTTTTGTGGAGATCCCGTTAAGATCACCAAATTCCTTATGTTATCATCGTTAGCTGATTACAGCAAGAATTTTGAAAACAGTAAAATGTGAAGTAAAATGAATTCAGGTATTTGTATTGGGTTAATTTAGTAGTAAAAGGAACAAGTAAATTAGATGACCCATATTAGGTAACGTCATATACAAACATTTGTAAAAGCACATCTAATGTTTAGGTTTGCAAATGGTGAGTGCAATATGTGATTTTTGTGAAGCATTCATTTGCCATAGTAAAAAAATGTCTTACAACACATCCGTGTAAGTGTCCATTGCGTGGTGCTCAGTGTATGGAGTGCAAACGAAACGTATGGGAACACGGTTATTATTTCCTATTATCATAGATGATATTCCTGATACTGTTTCAGAATGAGAATCAGAGAGAAAGGACGGATGCAGTGAGATGCAACGGAACTTATGCTTGATGTTTCAATTTTCTTAGCTTTTTCATTTTGTTCTTCAGATTTGATAAGTTTAAGGTGGACGGATATATCAGTGTGCTTTTTGTCAAAATTTTTTGTGTGAAGATGATCAATTTGAACACCAAGCGAGCTGTCAACATATTGACAGTGAAAATCCCAAATGTTAGTGTACAGAACTTCCTAAAGTCGTATTATGATAATGGAATCACCAGATGATTTGACGGATTTGACGATTATTATTTGCACAAAATTTTCAGAGCGGAAAAGTAGAAACATTTGAAAGATAATTTTTGCAAGTGCTGGTTAAACAGACGCTTTTTAGGCATGTCATGCAATCGTTTTGGCCTATATACATGTTTGCGCTGCAAGATTTGTTGCTGTGATGAACATGTTCGCCGCAAGGGTTTTAAATATGGTAGAGATATTAAAGATTTGCCGTGCCCAAAATGTGGCTATCCGACCAGTGAAACAAAGGAGTTCAATATTTCAGGTAAAATTTGCTTGGTTTCGCACTGTTATGAATAATTCACATAGCTAAATAAAACTTTTTTTTTTACAGCACGAAAACATGTCTATGCACGTCAGGTTCGTGCATTTCACAATTATGATGGCAACGAGAAGGCAGGCAAATTTAATAAGTAAGACCAATTCGGCAATAGAAGTAGTTTCATGGTGTTAATTTTGGTTTTTACTTCTATATTTTCACTGCAGATTTAATAAAGGAGGAGAGTTCAAAGATGTTAATTACAATGAAGAAGGATTCTATGACAACGGTGATAGTGATGGGTTCAGTCTTTATGGTCAAAACAGTGATGCTAATTCCGATGACAATGACAATAATGTTAATTATGATGACGGGGACAACGATGGAGACAATGATGTTAACCATGATGAGGGCGACGACAATGTTAAGCATGATGATGCTAATCGTGATGACGAAGACAGTGGTAATAATGATATTAATGAAGATGAGAATCATGGTGATAGTGACGATGACAGTCATGATGATAATAAGAAATAAATAATTGTTTCAAAAACTTCATCTTTATTAAAACCAAGAAATATTTATCTGATCGCTTTTTCGTGGGTAAGCTAATAAAATTGTCTTTGCTGCTACACTGGTTGCTAACTAAAGTAGAGCATCATGACCAACCGGCAATTGAAAAAAAAAATTGCTCTGATCGTTTACGGTACTGCGGATTAGATTCAAGAAATTCCTTGTTGTGGGTGAAAAAAAAAATGAAAACGAAAGGACATGATAATTGACAAGTAATCAAAATAACTCACTCTGGATTAGGAGACGGGTTTCTATTGGTGCAGTATTGATAATTGCTTTCAGGAATTTTGAAGAAATTATTTTAAACTCAATAGGACAAGTGGATACTTTCTTCCACTCGCAAGTTAATGGGTAAGAAACGATGTTATTATGTCGTTTCATCTGCTACACATCCTTATTTTGCATGAAAGAACTGGATTTTGGAGAAATAGTCACCTTGACTTTTTCTGTAGTAGTAAGTAGGGGCTCATTGCCTTTGCTAGATCTTGGCAGTTCCAGTTGGAAGAAATTTCCCAGTAGAATATTCGAGTCATATTTTGTTTTCTTGTCGAGATATTTTTCCTTCTTGGGAATCCGAAAAGTACACTTTAGTTAATCAGATTAAGAATTAAAATGATTAATGGATATTAAACCACAGTGCTTTACCAGCTAATCTGATAGAGGGAAGTTAATTATTGTTGTGATAGAAGTGAAGGATTAATATTGGGAGATGCAACCAGCTGGTGAATAAAGACTTGATAGTTTGGAATACATTATCTCTCCTTATGAAATCCAGTAATTATAATATCAAATTTGGATATTCAGGGAAAACTTACTGTTTAGATGTGGGTATTTCTGTACTTTTTGCATTGTCCTGCATTTGGAATATTACATCAATGTATAGCGGCAAGTGTTAGTTTTTTTTTTTTTTTTTTTTAATTTCTTTATAACTTTTTGGTTCCTTTTCTGATCTTATTCAATGAAACATCAGAAATTGGATTTTCCCAATGACATTTTTAAAACTATATTTGAGCGATCCATAATCAAAGCTGGTCAGAATGTGTGTTTTCACTTATTTTTTGCATGATTTCATTAGTTTCGTTGGCTAACTTTCAGGTGCCACGTCCGTGCCGATTACCCCCCGAATATAATCAGATGCCAGATTTTGCAAGGGAAAAATTGCGAAGTATCTGGTAAGCCTTGAAATGCAACTTAAAGCAAAACGCTTCTTTTTGCTTATTAATAAGAGGCCCAGAAAGGTTGAGGAAAGTTTGAGCTATTCCAGAAATGCTATCCCTTCAGTTTTGAGCGAGAAAATCATTTTCCCGGAAACTCTGAAGTTCTCATTTTTAAACTGTTCATGCTTGGTAAAGAGATAATAATGTGATTGCACAGGGAAAATTACAAATCCGGAAAAAGCTGCGTTGCGGAACAAATTGCTACTGATGTTATCCTTACAGTCGTTAATATTTTTCCTACAAAATATCGCCATGCAGGTTAATTTTGGTACTGTTATTAGAGAACAAGAAAGCATGCACATTTGTCCTTCACCGCATTCCGTCTGTTCTATCGCATAATTATCGGAATGAAACGGTGGATCGTATATCAGATTTGATCAGCAATGCAAACTTCTTAAGGAAACATGCTACGACTGAATTAATTTCCATCGATTCCTTTTCTTTGCCCTTCGGCTCCTACTTTATAATTTTCCGTGAAAATGGAAGGATTTCATTACTCACCATAATTGTCTGATATCGTTGATATCGATACAAATTTCAACAACTGAACAACTCCAGTAGTGTACAACACGGAACTCAGAGGGCGAACATCCGACAAAACTCGATCCTTTAATGGTAAAACCAAATTTCATATTCGATGGTGTTCAGCGACATCCGACACATTTGACTGCACGATATGCTATATCTTTTCAAGGGTTGAACCCAAGTACGGTATCATCAAGGACACATGAAAAAAGAAGTATATCTCAAAAGACGTATTATGCTGAAGATTTGCTAAGTAAACTAATTTAGCGATGATGATATCATCAGTTCAAAAACGGCACTGGAAAGTAAATCTCCACTTCGCTGTCTTTAACATTGTTGTTCGTTTTAGTAAAAGCTTTTCAACATAGGAATATGAAATCCAACAGAATGTAATTATTTCAGTAAGTCCAGCAAGGTACAACAGTCATTATGAATATAATTCAGCTAGCGACCACATTTCTCCAACTCCAGAAGATGAAGCTGTTTATAATGAAGTGCCTGTAATGTTTGTTAATCTATAATACTGATTGTTAGAAATATGCTAGAAATATGATTGTTAGAAATATTCTATAATACTGATTGCTAGGATAAGAAAAATCTATATAGAAATATTCTAATAATCAGTATAACAAGGAAATTTGCAGATCTCGGAAACTTTTGAACTCCCGGAATTCTTAAAAGGTGCAAGTAAAAATATTATCGATAATTTTACCAAAGTATGGAACGATCCAAATATTCCGTCCGAGGGTTTACGCGAAGAGATGGTGAGAATCCTGTCAAATCACTGAAGAGCTATGAATGACAAGCATATTACAGATTCAAAGTAGGAAGTAAAATAACGATTTCAATAACTGATTAACGTGGAAAGGGTCATGAAAAACTTAAAGTATAGCCCTCCGCAAGCATTTAGTGGTATCACAATTCATTATTTAGAATGCATAAATCAACAGGCGTCAAATGATTTCAGAGACCTTTTATATTTGTAGATTCACCTGCTTGCCGTGTCATTGCTAAGTACAAAGGAGCTTACTGCGTATAACCGATATATGAAGGAACGCCGACACTGCCAGCAACAGTTGCTACTTCATATACGCCAAATGTCGGATGAGGCACGAAAAGCACTGAATATTCTCGCTTACATAGAGCCTGATGAGCGGTTTGGGGTAGGTGAACTTCTCAGAATATTACGTTTGTTTGTTTGTATTTTTATTTTGTATTTTTATTTTTTTTTTTTATTTTGGGAATTTTTGGGCAAGTAGATTCGAATTTATGCTGTCAAAAGGGGGATCTTTGTAGCAATGAAAGGAATTAGTGATGATGTTAAGTTAGCTTGTTGAGAAACCGATACTACAACATAAATCTGGCGGATGAATCTTTCGAAATTTTCGGAAAGCTTGTATTGCGAAAAAGCATTGATTGCATTATGTACGTGTCTCTGCCAAGCTTTCCGCGAAACATATAGACTCAGTGTTTAGTCATGGGTTAAAGAATATTTTTAAAAAAAAGCAAATTAGCACTTTGCTTACAAAATAATTAAAAACTGTTCTTCTTTTTCAGACTGTCGAAAATTTTTCTCCCAGTATTCGTCGTGAATTGAAAGATTTTGCCAGACGAAGAGCGGGAAAGTGCATTTGAAATGAATATAACATTTCCAATAATTTCAATAAAATGACTGAACAATGTTTGCAATTTACTTGTACTTGCTAAGAATGTGATTCATATATAGGAAACAACGCCAGAATATATTGATTGTTATTTTATTGGAATATTGTGAAATTCAAGCAATGTGTGGGAAAAGTAAAAAAATTTTTAAAAGAATCCTCCATTGAATTAAAGGCAAAAATTTTTCTGCTATATTTTGGGATTGTCGCAGGTGACTTTGTTAGAGTTGAATTGATTATTGAAACTTATATGACATAATCTTCTACAACTACTCCTCTGCCAAATGCTTTCGAAACTACTTCCACAAAGTTAGTTTTAGAAACAAATGAATGCTCACTGTGCAAAAATTAACTTTTGCTTTTATTGTGAATTAAATTTATTCCATGATTTTGAATTTTTTATGGATGACTGTGTCGCAGAATTTCAGAATACAGAGAAGACGGTGTAAAGTTTATGAATTTTCAAACGCCTTGAAAAAAAAGAATTTTAACTTTCGAGTAATTTTCATAATTTCAACCACTGATTAACACGAAGGTTCATTTATACACTTTCAAGCTTGGCAAGTGAGAAAAAATTTAAAAATAACTCAAGGAAAATATTTGCAGACATGTTCTGTTATTTATCGTTTTATGAAAACCAACAAAATTCTCATTTTTGATGAAGGAAGCTGCATCGGAATCTGTATGCTAGGGAACCCTTGTAGTAAACTATTGAGGGAGCAGTTGAAACAATTTCAAAATAATTCACCCAATTTCAAAGTAACAATTCATGATTCTATTGATATTCATTCTCCTTTTTTGCCCTTTTTTTTTTACAACGGAGGATTTTTAGGAAAAAAAACAATGACAACGAGCAGATAATGCGAGTATTTAAAAATGATTTACAAGCAAAACCTAAATAAATTACATTTTCTATCGATCCAGTTAACAACTTAGTAATCATAAGATCACCAACTAAATATAGGATATTGATCGTGGTTGTAGCTGTGAATTTCTTTTATAACAGAACAAATCTGCTATAAATGACTATCATTACCGGAAAAAAAAGAAAAACTAGTTCATCGCCTTCAACCTTACCTTTTGCTTCTTTATTATGGGATTTTAACACTTCATCGCGACATCTATTCCTCCTTATCCTTTCAGTCAATTTCTTTATCTTCAAAGCCTCTGATAATCCTTTTTTTCTAGGTTTAGTACAGAACTATTTCGAATGGTCATTATTCATCATGTGCATTCATTTGGTTCGGAGAAAATCGTTTCAACAGGGCGTAATTAACTGCAGTGCAATGTACGTACCACTGCAGTAACAGGAAGGAAAGAGTTAGATCGATGTATTATGCAATCGGTCCACAGACACATAACATACATCCCATTCATTCAGAATGTATTCTTGCATTTGCGATCTCTCGAGCAAAAGATCAATTGAGCAAAAAGATTTCGAACATTTGAACATTGCACCATTGGGTTCACTTTCGATGATGATACGTCCGGTTGATTCTTCAGGCAACTCCGTTTCAGACTATATAAAACTTGGGTTTTTTTTTTTATTTTTTCTGTACGTCAAATAAAGTGATAATGTCCAATCTGACTGATGACCATGGATGGAGAAATTCGGAATGAGAACATGTATCACCACTACCATTTTTCGGTCATCACGGGCTTTGAGTAATGGCAGTTAAAACCATTTGTTATTTCGTCATTTCGATTACTCAATCTGAAAACTTCCACTAACAATCGAAAAGTTTTAGCACTGATGTTGATATCCCGGAGTTAACTTTGTTTCTCATTTACAACTATGACGAAGTAATACGCTAACTATAATGAACCTATTTCTTTTAAATTAAAACGATACTTTGTAATGTTGAAAATAATCCCCGCTCGAGTTGTCATATTCCAGAATGAAATCCGTAAAATTACAGATTAATCAACTTTTAGAAGCATTTATTGCTGTTTACTTTTCCAGAGTAAGAGGGTAAAGGATAACTAACTTGTTGTAAAATACTTGTAATGCAAAGAGGAAATGCGAGAACTTACAAAATCGATAGTTGAAGAATTTTGTTTGAACCTGACGGTGGTTTGCTGATGCTACTCAACTGCGCCCTTCACTCACCCCTCCACTCATCTTCCCTACCACTTCATCCCTTTACCTCCCTACAGGAAACAGTCAATTTCAGACTATCGTCATTTCTAACATCATTTTAGATAACACAATTCAAACATTTTCATTCCTTACGCATAGAATGGAATTTTATCACATCGTGTCAGTCATATCTTTGAATATTTTACTAATAGTTTACTTGTCATTTCAAGCATCACTTCTGTGACATTAAGATATGCATATGTGTGCAAGATAGAGGAGAGGTATTGAGGTAAGATGGTTGGCACATCTCAAATATTCCATGCGATTATCCGAACTTCTATACAACTTAGCCTATCGTTCCCAATTGATTTCCCATGAATCACTGGCTGTCTTCTCTGTTGTTGTGATTGACCTCCCTGTTTGTGTCACTTCTCTTCACTCTTATAAATGTCGGTCATTTTTAAAAGAAATGATAGGAAGTACGGTTAACAAGTTCTCTCATTGCTTCAAATGCTTTGTCTTTAATAAACTTTATTGAGATTGAGAAAATACTGCAAAGTCCTCATTGATGTTGACCTTAATTTTTTTTTTTTTTTGCAGAAATTAAAAGGAAAATTATTTATACAAAACTTTACATGAAATCCTTATGAAATATCTCCTGAATATTATTCAATTTTCAATAAATATTCGGAATTTTCTTAACCACTACCACAGTGTCCTATATTTAAGACTTCAATCAAAAAGTTCCTCATCGAATTATTGTGTGGGAAAGTTGCCATGCTATTCATTCAATTCGAAATGAGATTTTGTCATATGTATCAGTATCAGTGTTTTTGTTTTGTCGCCTTGCCTTTATTAGCATGTTTTATCAGTTATCAGTTATCACTTTTCATAGCAACACACATTGTTACAGCGTGTAACATACAATTTCAAAAAAACACTAATCATTCGTATTTGTTTAAAAAGAGAAGCTGTTTGTTGAAGTTGGAATAAAGAACTGAATTGAATGGATTAATTTCCGGAAGGCGCAGATTATGAATCCCACGCCACATTTCTTCAGCAGTCTGTTGCTCAACCCCTTCTGCCGAAAGTGTTCAATGCTTCGCTTTTTTTTGTTTACGACATAAAGCTGTTGTTTGATCCATCCTGTGCTTCATTACTATTCTCTCGGTCTATAGCTCTCGAGATATCCGGAGACTTCTTCTATTGCTCTTGTCTCTTTCTATGTCCACGTGGGCGTTCTTCAAACAGCACACACACATACACACACACATACACACACACACATACACACACACACATACACGTATACAATATATGCACGCACATACATACATACACAAATTCTAATGCCTATCCCGATGAACATTGCAACATGACTCCGTTGCCTACACATTCATCTCTGCTTAGCAGACATATATCTGCATCGTATAGTTCGGAAAGGCCTTTCCACTGTTTCCCTCTTCTGTTTCTTCATTACGGACTTTTTGTCTGTGAAGGATTTTATGGAAGGAATTGAAATGGAATGCCTCAACTTCAGCAGCACCCTGCTATTTTTACACAACTATCCATACCCACTCGTCTTCTTATCTGCAACCTACTCCGATCATTTCGTCCGCTGACCCATTGGCCAACGAAACATAGTGTAGCTACTCTTCTTATCTTCTTAGGCTATTTGTTTCCATAAAATTAACACTTTCTTCCATTCCACTTACCATTGTACATCTTCAATGATCAGCAGAAGCTGTAGCAAATGCTACTGCTACTACTACTATGTTATCACTTCAGTGATACCTTGTTCTCTTTCTTTCCTGCAAAGTTTATTATGCAGATTAGGCTCGATATTTTTCTCCATCCTTGTTTATTATACCACAACAGTAAAATCACATTTCTCGGCTGATCAGTTGAATTCTCTAAATTAGTTTTACTTCCACATATCCTTTTATTTTTATGACTTCATTATATTCGAAATAAATATTTCGGGAAATGGACGAATTGAAGAAGTCATAGTAACACAAAATGAAACATATGACTTTAATAAGTGGGAAGCATTTTAGAACTTCAACAAACCAAAACTCTATTTTAAATTTGGTGGAATTTTTTTAATCAGATTGTCTTGATAACATATTTACATTTTGCTTGATTGCTTCTTAGACAGCACTTTGATTTAAATTTTTGAAGTCAATCAATCGCAGTACGAACTTTACACTGCTCAACAACTTTCTTAAAGTTTTAAAAACTTTATACACAGTTTGTGTGCTGATCAAGTGAAAGAACGGTGATAGATTGATTAGGAGGGGGAGGCCAAAAGCAGTCATGGAGGTACTCATTCTTATGTCATATGATACAAGAGATCCTAACATGCTCTTATAATCGTTATCTGTAAATATTCCAAAAGAAAATATATGGAAATATTTCTTCGTTAAAATTGATGTATATTATGCGAATTTAAATAGAAGCAAAGTCGAAGCTATAAATAGATAACCGAAATTTCAGCGAAGGAGCAAGGAAAAAGTTGATAATTTCTCCCCATCCATGGAAAACGTTTGTACTCGTGTGGGAAAATAAAAATGACATAACGTATAAAAGTAAGGTATAAGAAATGGGATTAGTGGAGCTATTTTGATTCAATGAATCATTATGGATTAACAAAGTAAATTAAAAATTTCTTCACTCTTAAATATCTTTGTCCATGGTAAATGAGATTTTCCGAAGATTTTTTTTTTCCAAATCCATCGTGTTACGTCATTAAAAGAAAAAATCCTGAAAAGTATTTTAAAGTGGACGGTAAATTTGTTGTTCGTGCGGTAAAACCTAAGCAAAATCTGTCGAAGCATGGAAGAGACAAGCTTTTAGTGTTCGATTAGATAAGCAAAAGTAAGGTATAAAGAAGGGAACAATAAATTATTAAACGCTAGAACGGTAACCTACAACTGGTTGGTGACCTACAACGGGATTATTATCTAAGAGCAAATCATTCTTAGCTTGGGTACTTTACAATACATGGCAGCACTGTGCAAACCACAAGGCATTTCGATCGGACAAATTAATATTTCATCTTCGGCCTCATTGCTTTAGATGTTTCACCATCTCCACCCAAAATATCGCAATGTATATAATTTACTTTGTTCTCGAAAAAGTATAATGCTCAACTGGTAGTGTTTCTCGAATCTTTTGCTCTGGATTTCAGTGAGAAAAGTTTGAATTTTCTGAAAAAATAAAAATGAAAATATAATTTGAAACTTTTGCAATAGCTACTTGTATTTTGCTTTCTTATTCTTGTCTTATCAAATGATTCGTTTTTCAATTCATTACATCATTCATCACATCAATGAATCCTTTCTTACAAAACTTTACTCGCATTATTTTTACATTTGCTTATAAAATGTATTTTCATTGCTCACAACAGGTTAACATATAAATGACTTTCTTTGGCATATTCAACTATGGAATTTGTTCGAAACATTAACTTTTTTTAAAAACATTTCTACAGTTTCAGTTTCCATTGCACATATCTATAACTCTTTCCGGGATTTGTTAGCAGTTGTTCCTAATTCCCGTAATGTGGAAACTGATCCACTATTCTACTCTTATCTTATTGTCCGTATTTCTGATTCATGTCATTGATTTTCCATAATCAACAACAGATTATACATGAAAATTCGAATTATTCTTTGTTAACATCAAATAAGTGTATTTGTTAATAAGTTGAGGTGAAATTCGACATTCCATTATCAAAATCTAGAAACGAGCTTCAGTTAAGATATCGTGATATATTTGATAATAACAATAACAAATCATTAATCATAATAGTAGGAATAATAATAATAATAATAATAATAATAATAATAATAATAATAATAATAATCAAAAATGTAAAGTTACGAAGTTTTTTTCACAAAAATAATGTATGCAGAGGAAAAAATAAGATGAATTATTAAGCAAAAAGTATTAAACATTGCAATATTTGAATATATTTCTTTCCTTATAAAAAGTGCATTATAAATTTATAAAAATTCCTTTTAAAGGCTTTAAAAGTACATTAGTTT